GAATATGCATTTGCATTCTTTTTAAATCCAATTTTTTTTTCTACTTTTTTTTTTTTACATATATCGAATCTTCTTGTCATTCTATTTAAAAAAAAAATATCAGTCGAAAAACTATTAACACGGGATATTTTGAAAAAATACTTTTTAACATGACGACATTCGATGTATGTAAAAACAGAAAAAAAAAGGTTTTTATTCAAAAAAAAAAAAATAGTACAACTGCAAAATACATTTTGTCATTTCAATTTCTAACCATTTATCTTTTTCCTCTAACACTTTTTCCAATTAATAAACCGAAATATGAATCGATACCAATGCACGATTATATACACCATAGTATTAAAGAAATAAAAATGAAACTATTTAATATTTGATACTCGAATCATCCAATCGAATTAAAAGTAAGAATTTCTCTATTTGGTTACCACTGTATCCATATTATATCATTTATCATCGATATCTTATTTCACTCGATGATACAAGAAACAAAAAAAAAAAAAAAAATCCATCTCTTTCTTCTAACGTTATATATCATATATGTCATATTAAAAAACTTCCAATCCGTATAATTAAAAGTTGACCGAGCTTTCAATTAATTTCAAAGTTTTCCCCGAACACACTCTTCATCATTCTACATCAAACTTGACGTTAATTCGACGATCGATTTCCCGAGTCTTTTTTCTCCTCGAAACGTACTGCTTACTCGTTGGGCGGATATTATTTTACAAAGCGAGCCTCTCCCTTTTGATGTCATCAGACGATCCTCGCACGGCGAGAGATATAACCAATTCTCCCTGTAATCATCGACCAACCAATTACCGTTTGTCAACCATCGTACCACTCGAAAGACGATCATCGCGGCTTAAGATTACCTTTCCGACATCGATGTTAACGGGCCTTTCAATCAACCGTTTCACTTCCGGTACATCGATCCTGGTAATTCTGCTCCTAGAGTCTTCGAGATTCTCTTTCGAGATCCTCATCTTGGGCGCGCGGAATGTTGTTCATCGATCAGCGCCTGAAACATACACGACAGAAATTGTTAGTTAAGAGCAATGATAATGGTTAAAATTGTCTCGAATCATTTATTGAATTCAATTTTTCTTTCCAATAAATCACAATATAATAATAATAATAATAATTTATAAAATAAAATTACGCGCACTACTAAGAAGAACAAGAAGAAAGATTGGAAAAATTAATTTCACATTTCCCTTAATAATAGCTTGTTCCTTTCTCTATTAAGAAAAAAAAATAATCTCAATCTCTTCGATCTCAGGCAACTCAAATATCTTCCTTAATTCGAGTATCGAAGTTCCAAGTTGCAAATTTTGGTAACGGGTGCCGAGTCCCACGCAGATCTCGTAACCCGAGGCAAAGACATCAAACGAGGATTAGCACTATAAAATTTCTTCCCTGAGCGATGTCCATTATTCACGGTTGTCGTCGGGTTATTAAACGTCCATTACGCATCGTTGACACTGCCATCGTCCTTACGTCACGTCAAATCGGTGAAATCGTTTCTTCCACGCGAATCAATTTAACCGCCATCAACGGCGCATATTTTCGTGCACATGCAGCTTGTGCTCACTTCTTTATTCGTTTTGTTTCGTCGACGAGTAGATGACGCGAATTTCGAGGGACCGTTAACGAGCAATTTCGACTCGGACTTGAAACTTTCTAACGAGTGGACGGACCGCTTCTTGACACAATCTTAGTCGTTAGGAAAACCGAGGAGCCGAGCAACAGGCGGTCGATTCGGAATTTAAGTGTTTCGTTAGAGGCTGCTTCCTTAAACGACGAGAGAAACGTGAGAGAGGGGATTCGTGTCTGAAAAATTAGTTGGTACAGATTAGCTTTGCGAAGTGAATCAATCTTGAAGAAACGAATTATTTTGGGAATTAGATCAATATTTTTCATTCGATCGTCGTTTTGTATAATTTATTTAGTAGACGCGATTGAATTAAACGTTTCTTAATTATTGATGAAATTAATTGAATTAAACTAATTCATCCGAAAGAAAGAAAACTACCATTAAAATTGTAGAACAAAAAATAATGGATCGATAATTTTCTCTTTCTTTTGAAATGAATCGAATATTGCGTTAAATTCGATACCGAATAATAGAGGGATGGAACGATGAGAGGGTTGAGTCTCGAGAACGAGAAATAATCAAGATGATGAGTTTTAAATACTGATGCTTTATTTTATATAAAGTATTGTATAAATGTATAAACGCTATAAATATGTGGTATCTATCTATGGTGGTGGTGGGGTGCTAGTCGTGATCGCAAAGAAAGGGTATGACGAGGGCGGGCGGGGTCGGGGGCCGGCAGCGGCGCGCCATCTATTTACATTCATTCACTCACGGGAAGGGCTGACCTACCATAATCTACCGGTCTCTCTCTTTCACTAACATATAACACGATTATATAATATATGTGTAGTGTGTGTATATATACGAATACACATATAGCAATAGTGTGTGTGCGCGCGTGTGGCAATGTGTTCATATATATATATACGCGAAGGAAGTAGTAGTAATAGTATGTATACATGTATATATATATAAAGAGAAAACATATATGCGCATGGACGAGTAATGTAATAATAATATGTATGCTTGAGTGCGGCAGTGAGTATAACAACTTGTGAGACCGTGAAGCGATCGATGATCGTCGCGCGGCTCATCGGAAGAGAGAGGGGGGAGAGAGAAAGAAAAAAAAAAAAAGAGTGGTAAATAAAAACGTGTGAAGAGTATACGGCGGCCTTACGCGGATGGTGGAGGACGTAAGAGAGAGCGAGAGAGAGAGGGGGGGAAAAAAAATAAAAAAATAAAAAAAATAGAGAATACTGCCGGAGCAACGGTGGGTGTTCAGAAAACAGAACA